CGATCAATCGGCCCAATGGCAAAAATAATTTCTGTTACACTAATCGGACACGGGACACACGTGTTTATCAACTATTACAGTGTATTGTCCTCTACCTCTTTACTAAAATGTCGTTTATGTCCCCTCACTATTCATTCTGACATTGGACTTTGCTACGAAAGCACGTCATTCGCGCCAAAGGAATCTAACTAATAATGTCAAAAAGTATAATATTAATATTTATAATATAAAACAAGTTTAAATAATTTAGTATCGTTTCAAATATAAACTGTTTACGATATTCTAGAGATCGTCGAGAATTAAAAATGTACAGAATAACAAAACTGTATTCATTATTTACATTATGTATTTCTTTATTTAAACATATATCAATTTAAACTAGTTAACACCAGTTTTTGATAACATTACATAAGCGAGAGAGAACACCCGGTTACAAAATACGTGTAGATTTATACACAAAGGTCAATGTTAAATAGACTTTATTTATATGAGCATATGAGTTATATTTAAACGATAATTGTTTATCTCTTGAGTTATTTTGCTTAGCAACAGAAACGCACGGCTAGCAATAATAATCTCTACTAAATGGATGTGATTTTCTATTCAACTATTCCTAAAGTCTGTTTTTAAAATTGTTTGTAACGGGTTTTTTGACCTGAATATATTGTTTTTGTACGACGTAACAATGTTACCTAAACATAATTTGTTAAATTTAAAAATGATTTATATTACTTTTTATCAAAATAAGAGATCAAATTTTATGTTATATATATTCTTAGCTAAGGATCAACAGAAGACTGGTCGTTATATTACGCGTTTTTCAAACCGACATTTATTCAATGTTGCCATATCTACATAATCTTACTAATATTATAAATGCGAATTTTTACATGAATGTACGAATGAATGTTTTTCAGAAGATATCTCTGGAGTGGCTCAACGAATCTCACTTAAATTTAGCATAGATGTAGAACATAGCCTGGAGGAAAACATAGGTTACGAATTATGTTCTTTTTAATTCTGCGCTTAAAGATTCGAGGGTGACAGCGTGTCCACGTATAAATATATATTTTTAAACTGCTATTGACAAATATTTCCAGTCAATCTGATTCACTTTCGTTCTCAAAATGTAAAACCTTTTAATGTCGACAAATATAAATGCAGAAAGATGTTTTTTTGTTGATTTAATTTGATTAGAAGTGAAACTTTCTGACTAAACATATAGAACTAATAGTAGTATTAGAGAAATGTTGATAACTAACATTTTTCATCACAAACACGTAAGTGCGTTTGGCATTGGTCCTAAAAGAGTTCAACGGCATGTATCGTAACATGTTTTACGTTTATTATTTCGTATTTACGGTTTGTAGCGAGATTTTAAAAACTTCAATCATCCTGACAAATAACTAAACCTGTGTAAACTCAACCCGCAGTGTTCCACCGTGGTTGACTATGGCCTAGTCACCCCCTTTTTTTTCAGAGAGGAATGCTTTATGCATACTCCACGCCCCGGGTGGGACGCGGTAGTTATGTGGGATTCTTCTCCATAGCGGAGGCATATCCACTAAACCTCTCTGTTCCTCCAACGCATCGGGACGGGGCCACAGGCACGCTTTCGCTCTCGTCCAGCCTAGTCATCCCTAATTTAAAACTCCGAACCCTTCAATTTATAGTGAGCTGGTAATGTACAGATATGTTAGTTTCGTGACTTATCAAATCCCAAATATTTCAGGAGATAACTATGCCAGATTTTTTTATATAATTTTACATATACGTATAAGAAAATTCAAAATTCATTAGACTATTTTTAAATGGACTGGACAATAAATTAATACAATGATCTAAAATTTAATACTATCATTACTTAATTACTATATTAGCTGAATATGTTTATTCCTGTGACATTATTGTAAACATAATTAAAAACGAATCTATATTTATATTTAACGACCTAAGTTTTTAATCTGGAATTCTTATCTTATCTGTTTACCCTGATTAGGTTAGTATAGGTGAATGGCTTCATTTTAATCCTAAAGTTTTCAAGCTTAAAGTAACGCCTCGTTGCACGGCCGCGTTTGATTTATGGGTTCCACTTCGTACACGAATGAACAGCGTACAGTTATGGAGAACAGTTTTTACTTAGAAAATCTCTTATATACGTGTTTACGTTTAAAGTACTAGCTGTAGCCCGCGACTACGTCCGCGCGTAATTGAAAAAATTATTATGCGTATGTGTTCTTCCAGATAATGTTCTACATCTCTGACTTTTAGTGAGATCCATGCAACTGTCCTGGACATACCTTCTAATAAACATTCATACATCTGAACTTTCGCATTTATAATATTAGTAATATTAATTGCTTAATAAATTTTGTGGATCTTTAACTTCAAAAGGATAATCATATTTTTATTACGATTTCAAATCGTTCAAGATTATTAGGATTTATTTTGATTAAAATTAAAAAGCACGTAAACAAGGATCAAAACTTAAAGGCGAAATAAAATTTGACGACCATAGACAATAACAGAATTAAAAAAACATTAGTTGTCGATGGTCATTAATCTTGTTGAGTTACAGTCTGTGTGGTGTGGTGCATAAATTATGCAGTGTTGGCGTTCTATTGTTTAGAACAATTGACAACCAATACATATAAATATATTTATATATGTACCGTAATTGAATACTCATTATGATATAGGTTACAAAATATATCTTCTTACTAATATAAATGCGAATGTTTAGATGTATATTTGTAGGTATCTCCGGACCGGTTCAACGGATCTTGATGAAATTTGGCATACATATAAAACATATTCTGGAAGAACGCATAGGGTTATTAAGATTTTTTTTTGATTCCGCGCAGACGGAGTCTCAGGCGACAACTAGTTACTAATATATTTAATATTAGCAATTTGCAGGCAATTTGGTGTTACCGTGAGTTTCCGAAACTATAAACTCCGTTTAAAATATATTAAGTTAAAGTATCATATCAACGATCAACGAATATTAAACACATTTTTATTTTTACGACTTTGTTTTCGTATCCGCTCTAAAAAACAACAGATATCCGAGTGCTTGTTCTATTTAAGATGTTTCTCTCTTATACAAATTAGGTTAACAAATTAGAACACAGTCATCCAGAGGCGAAATAAAGGGTTTCGAGTTTATATTGTGACGTCATAGCTATTAAAAAAAAATAAAAAATCGTCTTTTTTCGATTGTATAGGCACGGTTTGGTGTACATACTTATTTGAAATGTATTGCATAAAAACTTTACGTGTGTTATAAAAAAAAATAAAAAATATGTCACCAGTTAATGTGCACATTCTCCTGCAGTTGATATCCTGCATGACCTGCTTCATGAGACAGCCCAGGTCCTTCGCGTCGCCGGACATGGACTGCTTGGAGAGCCATTCTGTTTCCAACTCCATTGACAACTAGAAAAAGAAAAAAGTTTTTTTTTTAATTTTAATACAATATTCAAATCTCAATAAATATCTATAGAAAGATTATATTTCTTTTGTTTATTTAGTAATAAGATTCCTGGATTATTTGAATATAAATTACGCACAAACTATATTTATCTATAATAAATCTAGGGATGACCTAAAGTTCAAATACAGACTAATTTGAAAATTTAAAAAAATATAATATATTTTTTTTTATGTATGGCAACAAAATGGCAAGAAAGCCACTATTTTTAAAACAACTCTTATAGTATTTATTAACACTATCTAGATGTCTAAATTTACTATTTTGAAGAAATTTAGATATATAAAAATAATTTACTTTATATAATTAGCTGGAACATATATAAGTAAATATATATATATATATATACATACCAGATACTCTGTAAGTTTTTTCACTAATGGTTCTAGATGTACAGTTCTTGCCCAAGCATCACACACAAAGCACAAATTGAAATAAAATGCATTTCTTGCATATTTCTTGTTATCTATCCTCACAGGAAATCCCAGTATTTTAGAGCCAAGTAGAGTGCTGTTGACAAAAAAAAAACAATTTATTAAAAAGTATTTTATTTATTTATAATAAATTTTATTTTACAAAATTAGTAATTTCAAATACCTATGTTATTCAAATTAATTATGTTAATTTCGATGTTTGTAAACAATTAAACCCACGAACAGAATAACAGATAAAAAGTTGAATACAAAACTGATAAAAAAAATTAGTTGATAAAATAATATCCAACTTACACAGTAAGTGTGCATCTCTGCAATTGCACTTTTGGTATAATATAGTGACTAACAGTATCGAAAATATCTTTAGAAATATAGTTCTCTGGTACTTGACAAGTAATTTTGGGGCCCGCAGTGTGATGGAATTCACATAGAAATATGCAACGAATAGGTCCTTCCTGCCCACAGCCCTCGTAATATTTCGCGTTTGCATCCATATTTAACAAACTGGAATTTTGTAGCAATACGACACTAATTCACATTTCTTATTCTTTAAATAAATTGCCACAATTATGGTTAGAAACTACTGCACTAAACTACACAAACTTTAATTTAATTTGTCGTAAAAACTTATATCACTATCACGATAACGTAAGAATCGAAGTTTTGGTACTCGGACGGTTAATCTCACCACGTACACGGCGCATGATCAACTGAAATTTTTAGAAACTTGAATTTATTTTTATTTTACTGATAGGCGAATTCCGAATCGAGATGACAATGGTTTGGAATGTTGGCATATGAAAAAAAGACGTAAGAAATTTCATCGTTCTGAAACGAGTGGTATGGTCTATTTCGTAATTATAAGGTGAGATTTCTTTAATTAAGTACATAATTGAACCTTACTGAATAATTTAACGAAAAGGAAATTCACAGAATTATTTACTGTGAAGGAATTTTAAATAGAGTTTTTTTATCGATCATTTAATTTTCTGGTTATTAATTAGAGATTTTTCTCCCACTGTTTTTGAACGAAAACCCCGTTTCAAACTGTCAGTTGCAGTCAGCTGTCACGCCGTCGCTGTGATTGGTAATTTGATGATAACGAGAACTGATAACAGTGAATTTTGTTTAGTAACATAACATTACATTTTATACTTATTAAAGTGTAATTAAGATGGATAAAAGTAAATTTAAGATAGTTATTGGTGCTACGGGAAGCGTCGCAGCTCTAAAAATACCAATTTTGGTCAACTCCTTACTAGATTTGAATAATAAACAGCAATACATTTTTGAGGTTATATTTACAAATAAAAATGTTCTGCGTAAAACATTTTAGTTTTTAGAAAGTGAATTATTCCAATCATTTAATTAGATCTATGTTGTTGTAACAGAGCATGCGAAACATTTCTTCGAAACTTCAAAATTACCAGATGTTGTAAAAATTTACGATGATGCGAAAGAATGGATTAGTTGGGAAAAAAGAGGCGACCCTGTGGTTCATATAGAACTTGGAAAATGGGCTGACATGATGGTCATTGCACCTTTGGATGCTAACACTCTGGCTAAAATGGCACAGGCAAGAAATTATTTCAATAACCAAACTTAATTTCAATTAAAAATAATACAGAATTAAATTATATGTCGTAATTTTATACTCAATATAATACGTAGATAATTGTAGAGTTTAAAGACAAATTAGTTAAATTAGATTAAGAAAAATAAGGTTGAACATGAGTCAAATAAGAACAAGTAAACTCATATAAACAAGTGACCTCATCATAATCTATGATCCTTTTCAATTAAATATCTGGTAAATTCATATAATTTTACAGGGTCTATGTGATAATCTTCTGACCTGCACCACCAGGGCTTGGGATATGAAGCAACCATTGTTATTCTGTCCAGCTATGAACACAAGGATGTGGGAGCATCCAGTTACATACAAACACATACAGACATTAAAAGAATGGGGACATGAGGAGATACCACCTATTAAAAAACAGCTGATATGTGGCGACACTGGTGTAGGTGCTATGGCAGAGGTTGAAACTATTGTAGAAAGAATAAAAAGTATCGCTGATGAGAAAATGTTTAATAAGTAATTGAAAGATAAGTCTTTTATTTAATGTAAAATGTTATGGAGAGAATTTTTAATAAATCAGAAGTTATTGTTATTTTGTTATTCTAGTCATTTATTAACCTTAACTAGCTATCCCTGCGTCTCCACCTGCGCAGAATTATGAAAATACTTAATAGCCTATGTGTCCTTCCAGACTATGTTCTACATCAATGTCAAATTTCAGTGATATCCATTGTGCGTTTCTAGAGAGTTTCTAAGAAACATCCATCCATCCTTTTAAACATTTGCATTGATAATATTAGTAAGAAGTAAAATCATCTACTTTCTTCTATAATTTAGATAAACCTTAATTGTTTGAAACAAAATAGCTGGCATATTTCAAACATAAAATCAGTAACAAAAAAAAAGTTAATGTGATTTGATGTAAAATGGTTGCTAAGTCAATTTATCAACTAGGTGATATCAGTTGAGGGAAAAAAAGTTCATTGACCCATGTATATACATAATGCCCTAAATATGGACATTATCATAATATTGACATGCGACTTACCTTATCATGGAATGTCTTGACATCAAAATAGTTTAAACAACGATAAAAACATATCGCCAAACTGTCTGAGATTATCCTCATGTTGATTATGCGTGTACTATGTATATAAACATTCATGTAACATGTATGTAATCTAAAAAGTATAGCTCCTTGCAGTTCGTTGAATCATCGGTTAGAATGAATAAGGCCTTAGGAAATCAAATGTTACAAATGCGTATGTTTAGATGAATGGATGGATGGACCGATGTTTGAAGGTATCTCTGAAAAGGCTCAACGTCTCTTGTTTTAATTTGGCATAGACGTAGAAAATATTATGCAAGAACACATAGGCTACATATTATTATTTTTTAAATAGCGCTTACGGAGTCGAGGGGGACAGCTAGTGTAATTATACCTATCGTTTATAATTCTCAGTTCTTCTATTAGAAGTGTGAAGCAATGAATGTCATAATAAAAGTAATTTAACGCAATAACATCGTAAGAAACAAATGGATAAGCTATTTATAAAACAGATTTCAGTCAGTAAATATCCACGACATCGTTAGAACGAAAATAATCTTGAATTCGAATATGTTAACATATTTACAGCTCTGTTTTGATAAAGCTATTATTTATTTATAACTAGCGACCTGCGACTCTAACCACGCGGAATTAAAAAAATATTCGTAGCCTAAGTGTACTTCCAGTCTATGTTCTACATCTATGGCAAATTTCACCGAGATGCATGCAGTAAGATTGGATCACCTTAATATGATAATATCATATCATGGTAAATTTCATTCATTCAAGGTAAACCTGATATCTTCTTCTTCTTCGCATACTTCATTAGTGGAGGTCCTGCTCATCTTTATATGCGTCGACCAGCTGCCAGATATAATGCACGACAAAATATTATATGTTAAAATCTATAAGTTGATGACGGACGTAACAAACATGTTGATAATCTCTTGCGTGCCGCGCTTGTTACATACCTGATGTAGATTGTTTTGATGCGGTGCGCCACGTGGCAGTGAGATTCATTACATGTGTTAAAAATAAACATTTATATGCGAACTACTGCCACGTGTAACTTACGATCGCATTATGCAACATTTTCATTAGCCGATGGCATCGAGTTTCGTATATGTATAATATAATTTACTCTCTGACTACTTCATTGATTATGGACGACAAAATCAAAGCAAATCCATTAATTACTTGATATGTTTTTGCTGTTTTAGATTAGGTTTTATTCGTACATCTTACTAATATTATAAATACGAATGTTTGGATGGATGCTTGGATGTATGTTTGAAGGTATCTTCAGAACGGCTGCATAGATATAGCTGAAATTTAACTAAGACATAGAACATAGTCTGGAAGAACACATAGGCTACTAATTAAATTTTTTTATTGCTATAATAGTAACTATTATTTTAAATATGGTACTTGATAGCAAGTATAATTTCAAACCAGTCGCATTGCTACCTATATGAAATAAGGTTTCAATTGTTTTTTATCATATCGTTAGGTTGTTATTTGCTGTACACCAACATAATATACATAAATATTCGTCACGACGCATATATTTCAAACATAATTATGTAAAATATACACTTTTATGTTACACGTGCTATTCGTCAAGTCACAAACAATTAATTATTTATTTCTTGCATTTGCAAATTGAGGTTCCAAACAACACTATTAGGGCTTGGTAAAATTCATCTAACATTAGAATTACCTTTTTTTCATACCATCAAATAATTTGACATAGACGTAAAATTTATCATTTATTACTGTGTGATGGTATGGATCATGATTGGAACTATTAACCGACTAATTTCGAAGTGGATTTCTTTAAGAGGCTAGCTCTGTTAAACATAATTCGTAGCACTTGTTTGCTTTTTGTTTTAATTTGTTTCGAACAACAATATGGACTTATTTTCGTCATACTTGAATAAACGATGAAAAATATTTATCTATTAGTACCCGTAGGCCTGCAGTTGATATGAATTATTGAATATTCGCTAAACCATAAATATAGGGAACTGTTGTATTTCCATTGCATTTGTACATCCTTTGTTAACTCCAAATCAATAGTTTATTTTATTATGGTTACAAAGAAAAAACTTGTTGTCTGTAATTTGTTTTTGTATGATCAAAAATTTTCTGGTCGAGACTTCATCTATTGGTTTTCAATAGTACCGCCAGCAAGAAATCTTAAAACAATAGGGTTAGAAAAAACATACCATTTTCCAAGACAGTACTGATTTATTACGTTCTTATATAAACATTATATAAGTTACAAAATACATAAACAGGTAAATAGGTAACAAAACACTTGACTAGCGTTTCAGAAATAATGTACAGCTTGCAAACGGATTCAGAGCTCTGGTACATTCACGCGCTGGTTTCGGACTTCATACATCTAAATAAATAATAACGCCTTTAAAAAAACAAAGGCATCCAAAGAAGTTGCCAGTAAGCAAAATTATGTAAAAAAAAATGTAAAAATATTTTTTTAGCAAAAGACCGAAACTAAAGCATCACTATATCGCAAGATATAAAAATATTGTTTATCTATAAGGCAACACTGATCAGTGTTGCCAACTGTAAAATATACATTCTATTTAGTATTGGTTTGCGTAAAAAAAATCATCTTGTTCATTTGGCACGGTACTTGTAGAAAATTATACGCCTTTTTATACTTATTTTTATTTTACGACTGTAAAAAATAAATAATTATGATTATTTATATCGTTATATTTACTCAACCACTTAACTGTAGGTAACGTTGATGTAAAAAAAGCTATGTATTTTGTATAAAAACAAACTCTATAGTCTATGATAATAGAAATGTCATATTTTTAATGTAGCTGCACTTTGAATCTACTAATAGTAGGGTATATTTACAAAAAGTTACAATGGTTGAGTAATTCATATTTGTGTTAACTGCCGAAAAAAATGTATAGGGGGGGGCGTCCATAAATTACGTGAGGTGTTTTTTTTTATTTTTTGCACCTCCCTCCACCTCTGGTGAGATGTAGAGGGATTTTATTCAACATTTTTCAAAATGTGAGTTTCTTATGTAAATGCGTTGGATTGTTATTGTAAAAAGAAAAAAAAATCAGAAACAAAATTGCGTGATATTTGCAGAGACCTACCTCTGTACAACGTAAGATTCGATGAGATTTGACTCGACCCCCTCTCCCCTTAAACACCTCACGTAATTTATGGTCGCCCCCATACCTGTATCTTAAAAAACAGTTTTTTATGTACATATATTTCCGCAGATTACAAATTTTTATTTGAAAGTAAAACCGATTTCCGTTTGGTGTCTTAACAATTTTTTACATTATGCTATTTTCACATACTTACAGTTTTACGAATATGCATCTTAAGACTTAAGTTACAAGCTTTTTACACACAAACATACAATCCTGAATAAAGTGGGTAGTATGAAATAAACCGTTTGAATTGAACTATTTAAATTAGGAAATGCCAATACATTTCAAACGGGTTATACACATACAATGTCTTCATTTAATTGTATACCTTGAAATATTATGATTGAGATGGAATTTTGCCTTTCGGGCTAAGAAATGCCCGCCAAACATTCCAACTAGAGTTTAGTGGATTTTGTATCGTTCAAAAACGTCCATTATATTCACAATTCAAAACATACACACAATCACTCATAAATAATGTAAATGGTAAATATTCTATAATTTTCCTTGCCATATAACACATATTTTCCACGATTAAGGAATGACCTAATAAGGACCTAGGAATACTTTTGGGAATTGAATACAATATACATATCAACATACGATTCGACTTATTTTGATCAAAAATCATAGTTTCTATAATAATAAGCTTAATATTATACTATTATTCTCTTCATGTTGGAGAACATGCGTATATTCGAACACGTTTACTAAGCTAATTTGACACTTAAATTAAGTATCTTGTTAGAATTAACCACATTATTTTTATATTTTTAGCTCAGACGATAATACTGCGGTTTTATCTACAATCCATGTTTGGGTTTCTAATACCGAGATACATGAATTTAAATGTCATCCCACTCAATCTTTACGAGAAAAACAAGGACAACAATCTATTTTAATAGTTTTAAGTCAATGTAATTTCATAGTTGCGGTTGAAATTCATTCATACGTATAAATAATACAAAATGTGTATAAGTTTACAAAGTTAAAGAAAAATCCAAAAGCAATATATGAAAAACAAAATAATAGTTTCATATATAATTTTAAACGGTGATTTTACATTTCATTTTTGCAATATGAGGTTAAACATATTGAATAAAATTTACATTAAATAAGTAATTTTGTCATAATTCCGTCTATATTTTTTCACAAGCCTTCATTGAGGCAAGTTGTAGTCATTCTAGGCCTAGTTATAATTTCCATATTATGACATTCTACCCACCGATACACAATAATTTCTAAAACTTGACTTTATTAAAGGAAACATGGAATTAATTAAATTTTCGAAT